CTCCCCGAAGGCCAGGCCTGCAGGGCGCCCCTGCCCGTGCCAGAGGGCAGCTGAGCCACTTCACGCACCAGGGGGACAGCTCCCTGGGGACTTAATGCAAGGGCTCGCACCCCACGCGTGAGGGGTGCACGTCACGAGCTTCTTCTGCCCCCAAACACACGGGCTGGCCTCCCTCCACACCATGCACTGTGGCAGCTGGGCCAGCGACACGGGGCCCTGGCTGGGGGCCGGGCTAGTGGCCATAGAGTCTCCAGTCTCCCGGGACCTCGAGTTCCCCCCCACCCCACCCCACCCCCCGCGCTGTTCTGAAGCTGTCAAATGTCAGCACGGAGCTTGGGCCGGGCTCACTTTGCAAAAAAAATGCTCTTTCTTTATCAACACTCCTGAATGAATTCAATGGGCTCTGTGATGGTCGTGTAGTTTCGTGCAGGGGAAAATCGCAAGCAATGCAGGTTAGGTGTTTAGCTCTGTACGAGCACGTGCCGAAACACCTGTTTAGATGGCTTTCTTCCTGCCGGGATACCCGACTGTGTTTCTCTGTGGGATTAAATACAACGGGACATCTGTTGGGCGACACTTGGGTAACCGAATTTCATGTCTCTGTAGTTTGAATGGAGCAAAAGCTCCTTTTTTTCCCTCCTGTATACAAGAGGGTTCGTAAGGAAGTCTTTTCCCGGTTTTTCAATGAGCCCTTTCGGCGCCACCCAAACAGATCCACCTGTGGTGGTTACTGTAAGTCGGGTGCACATTTCCTCTTTAATCGACCGGTTTAATCAACTGACTTAATGTGATTCCATCTCCAGTGAGGAAAACGCCCTCTTGTCTCTGTCCTTGCTAGTAATTCAGTTTGAGGAACCCCTCCTTCCTTAAAATCGTGTTTGTTTTTTTTTAAATCTCACTTTTGGGCCACATTGCATTTGTTTGGAAACGCCATTGCGTTCTTTAAATGGGGCACACTTTTAATATTTGGGAGCTTGTTCATGGAATGGTTAAGTGCTTTTTTTTTAATCAACAAAGTGTCTCTGAATCATTTAAAATGTCTTTATTTACACTTTGTTCTAATTCATGCTCGTGGGAAACAATACAGCCCGCTTACTTGCGATGCGGATCGTTTATACGTCGTGGGATTCCGAGTGGCGATGAACGCGCTCAAAGTTTCAAACGGCCCTCACTGGGCGGATGGTGTTCCCGTGCCCAGGCCTGCGGGTGTCTGCCCAAGGCCCATTTCGAGGGATTATCCATGGTACAGTGTCCTCGCGTGCTAACCAAGAAGCACGGGGCGATGCAGACATTAATACAGACCTAAATCACGATGAATAGGCTTTTCCCGAAATCTTGCGCTTCCTTTTGGTGTACAAGTTCTGCCCGTGCGCGAACTCGCTCACCACAAGGCGCAGAAACTCCTGGGCGCGTCTGTCTGTTTCCAAGGAGCGCGCATCCGCGCAACGAACCCCAGCTTTGTCTGGGAAGGATCCGTCCGCGTGCGCCCCAGAACTCTTTCCTGTCTCCCGGCTTCCCGTCCCGGCACCTTTTCCGAGAGCCAGGCCGCAGCACCGCGGAGCGCTCTCTCTGTCTGAGTGTGGGCGAGCAGGTTGTGCTGATGGAGCTCCAGGGGGCGCCAGCGCCGGGGCGCGGTTACGGTCGTGGCGGAGGCCAGACGCCCGCTCCAGCCTCTGCCTGGGTCCGTGCGCCACCAGGCAGCAGCCTGACTGTCTGAGGGTGCCAGCCAGACGCGCCTGTCCCCCCGAAGAAGAAGGTCTCAGTGCCTCCCCTGCCTTCTGGATTGGGGAGACGTCCTTCTCGGGGTCATGACACCCTCCGCGTCTGAGCGCTGCTATTCTTAAGACTCGTCTGCACCCCACCGTGAGGGTTTTTGCAGACAAGCAAACAAACGCGCCAGAAACAGGGCCCACCCTTGCAGGATTCCGCCATCTGCACGTGGAGGAAATCGTATGAGGTCCCCTGAGTGACTCTCTGACTCATGTATATACACACACATATAGGTATGCACTCATATATGTGTGTTTGGATGCATGCACATCTACGATATTATATATATAGTTCTGTCCGTGGAGAAGCAAAGTGAAATCGCAGCGGAACACAATCTATTTGGAAGAGCTCAGAAGTGGCTGGAGTCGACCGGAACAGCTCAGTAGCCCCAAGGAGGTCTCTGAGTAACTGCGGTTTCGGTGGAATTTTTTTTTAAGATTTTATTTATTTATTTTCAGAGAGGGAAGGGAGGGAGAGAGAGAGAGAGAGAGAGAGAAACGTCCATGTGCGGTTGATGGGGGCCATGGCCTGCAACCCAGGCATGTGCCCCGACTGGGAATCGAACCTGCGATGCTTTGGTTCGCAGCCCGCGCTCCATCCACGGAGCTACGCCAGCCAGGGCCAGTTTCGGTGGAACTTTAAGACACGCGCAGAGCGGGAATGGTGCTCCAGGCACCTTCTCTGGGACTCGTGTTTGTCTGGGCTCCCGGAGGCACCTGCTTCCATGCCTGCCGCTTCCCACTCTGTTGCGTGAGACAGCCGTTCGCCTCCGTGTGGTCGGCGAGCCGAGTGATATCGCTTTAAACGCCGTGTGTGGATTCCCGCCACTCACTGCGAAGGACACATCTTCTGAGGGTGAACCCAGCGTGACTTACAGGGGGAGGCAGCCCCACCGGGAGCTTTGCTCGGACCCTGGCCAGCACAGCGGCGCCTCCTGCCGAGAGCTGGTGCTCCGTGCCCAGTGCTACGCAGGGAGAGGCCAAAGCACTTGGGTGCTGAAATCCCCGGTGTTCAGGCCCCGGTTTCCATGGGTCTGGAGTCCGGGCGCAGCTCGGCCGCTGCTCCCGCTGCAGTGGAGGCACCGACCAGGGGGCGGTGGTTTCCTCAGAAGTTTCGACCGGGGCGGGAAGAGTGTGCAGGCCCACTCAGGGGGCTGCGGGTGGGGTTCACTCCCTGACGGCTGTCGGCTGGAGGCGTTGCGCCCCACTTTGCCACGGGGCCCTTGCATGTGTGCCGAGTCACTTCATCCAAACCCAGCGAGAGGCGACGCCCGCTGGCCGGGCGGACGGACGGACATCAGAGTCTTGGGTGACCGCATCCCAGAAGTGACGCGTCCTCACCTCCTTGCAGTCTGCTCCTGAGAACCAAGTCTCCAGGTCCGGCCAAGCTCCAGGGCAGGGGATCCAACAAGCCGTGATATGACCAGAGGGGTGTCCCCGGGGCCCCTTGCGTCGGCCCCAGGGAGTCTCTGTTTAAAACGCTGTGGCTGTATCCCGTCTGCATGAAACTGTGACACTGTTGCTGGTGATGACCACAGCTGGCCCCAGTGACCACCGCTGGCCCCAGCTGTGCTTCCCTCGTGGTGTCTAGTACCCAATCGATATAACGTCGTCCTCCCTGTAATACTCGTACAGCGTTGTTATGGCCGGCCCCGAGTGACAGGAGAAAACGCAGACAAAAGAGGCACCTGTTGCATCGAAACGGATTCCGTCAAATTGTCGGTGATTTCTCGTTGCAAAGGGAGAGAGAGGTGACAATACTCCTTCCAAGTAGCCTCTGTGTGGTGCTCCGTCATTTTGGAAGTCTTTTATTTCATGTGTTTTTGTTAAGTTTGGCGGGCAGATGGGCTGATGTTCGGCTCCCGGCCCTGCCCCCGCTCCCTGCCCAGCTTTATTCCGAAATAATGAACAAATACAGTGATAAGCGTGAAGAGAAAACACGATGTTTGACACACAAACACGTTTCAGTCAAGCCACACATCTGTCATCTCGCATAGGGACCACTTCCCCGTGTGAGGAGCACACCTAAGACCCACTGTTCACACAAGTTTCAAGCACGCAACGTGGTATCGTTCACAACGATAATGGTTGTGATAATGGCAAGCTAATCACAGCGCTGGGCACCGGCCCCCGCCCCCGGAATTCATTCACCTTATACCTCCCTGTTTGCACCCTGTAACCACCATCTCCCCAGTGCCCCCTCTCCCCCGGCCCCTCACACACACCCAGCGTTCCATTCTCTGCTTCTGGGAGTTCAACTTTCGTTTGTTTCTTTGGGTATTTGTTTTTTCTACATTCCACAGGTGAGGGAGACCTATGGTGTTTGTCTTTTTATGTCTGGTGCATTTTCCCGGGGGTAACTCTCTCCAGGTCCATCCGTGCTGTCTCAGATGGCGGGATTCCTTTTTCAGGGCTGCGTAGTATTCCACCGTGTCTACAGCACATCTTTCTAGATTCATCTGCCCACAGAAACTTGGGTTGTTGGTGCATGTTGGCTATTAATGAGCGATGCTGATGTGAATATGGGGTGGGGTATCCGGCCGCGATCCTGTTGTCATGGAAACCAATTCTCCGCCATCCCGGCTGACTGCTCGGGGGCAGAGACACAGCCTCTCGCAGAAGGTGGGTGATGGATGGCGATCCCCTGAGCACGTGTCCTGGTGGCGGCTGCACCAGCCGGACGAGGTCCCGTCTGCAACTGCCGGGTCCGGCCCCTCAGCCAGCAGCCAGGGCCACCCAGGCTCCGCACCCCAAGCTCCTTGCATTTGGAAGGATTTTCCCGTGCTTCTATGTTACCCTTTAAAAAGCTACTAGGCTGATTCTGCCAGCCAACTGTAGAAAGAAAATCCACAGGGAAAATGCGGTCTTCCTGGAACGGGTGTGTCTCCAGGGCCCCGGTAGGTGACGCCTCACTGATGGCGGAGCCCACCTTCTAGAAGACAGAGACGGCGGGTGTGGCCGAGTCGGTCGGTCCAAGCAGATGCCGTGTTCTGGCCCAGGGTGCGGACGGGGCGGCCTCGCCGTCCGAGCCGCAGGAAAGGTTTGCTTGGGGAGCAGACACGGCAGAGAGAGGATGACGTGGTTTGCCCAGCGGCGTCTTTGAGCGTGCACGCTTCTGGAGACGGGCTGCCCCGCCGGACACCTGCACGGGGAGGGAGAAGGCTCCGGAGAAGGAGCTGAGCGGCCCCAGCCCACACACACACCCTTCCCCTGTGCCTCTGTCCCTCACAGGAAGATGAAGAGACCTCTGCTGCTCCTCCTCCTGCTCCTGGGGACCGCTGGGGGCCGGGCGGCCCCCAAGCCCAACTTCGTGCTCATCCTGGCAGACGATCTGGGCATCGGGGACCCTGGCTGCTACGGAAACAAGACCCTCAGGTAGGGCCAGGGCGTGAGCCCGGGGCTCCGGGCACAGGCGTTAGGTCCCGGGGAGGGTCGCCACGCGCCGGCCCAGTGGCGCGCCTTGGCGGGCGTCTCCACGGAGACCCACGCGGACACAGGCGTGCGGCGGGCAGGTGCGGCCGCAGGCGAGCGAGGGTGGTGTGGGGCGTCCGCGCAGCGAGATCACTAGAAAGATGCCCTAGTCATTCCTCCTTCCCTCTGGTTCCCTCCCTGTGTGTCTTGTCCCACCGTCCTGGCCTCCGGCTTGGTTTTGGTGGGGGGGCGTCGTGGTGGCCCCACTTCCTTACCCCTGCCCCCTCCGACCCGCATCCTTTGCACGCCCTCGCCGCCAGGGCTGTCCACCTCGTGGACCACCGGGGCCCGCCCAGGTCTGGGTGCCCGGGAGTGGGCAGTGACCCTGCCCCAGGGGGACGGCCCGCCCGTTCCCGGGGAGGGGCCCCCGGGGTGGCCTCACTTCCACAACACACTGCCCTAGAACACAGTCCGGGGCAGCCTTTGCGAAAGCAACTGCTGAAACCAGGAGCCGAGGGAGGGAGTCACAGCCTATGTGGTCCCTTGTCCGGGGCCCACGCCTCCTGCTGGGCCCTGCTGGTCACCGGGGGACACACAGACACGACCCCGGGAGCTGCCAGGGCAGAGGCTGCCGAGAGTGGTCAGAGGCCTCCCCTGGGCCGCGGCTGGGGAGCAGGAGCTATGTCCAGGCTTTCTCGTTGGGGGGCCCAGAAGTCCCTGGGGGGCACGGGTGCCTGGGGGGCAGCGTAAGGCCGTGTGAGCCGTCTCTCTGCCCTTCCTCCCACGAGCTCATTTGCAGACGCGCATCCTCTGCTGGGACCCCGGGGCTGCGGGAGACGCCCCCGGGCTCAGAGCCCTCCGCGGGCACATGGGGGGCCCCCGGACACGTCAGACCCGGGCCCGTGAGGCCGCCTCGTGGGTTCGCTCCTTCTCATCCGGGGTCTTGGGTTCTTTGCCACCCCCCCTCCGGGTCTCCACCCCACGCGACCCTCCCCCCCCCACCCCGGATTCCTGAGCCGTGGCTCGTCGTGCCAAGCCACCAAGAAAGCGGCTCCCTCGGCGGCGTCGCCAACACCGTGGCCCCTCTGTCCTAGGACCCCCAACATCGACCGGCTGGCCCGGGAGGGCGTGAAGCTGACGCAGCACCTGGCGGCGTCGCCCCTGTGCACGCCGAGCCGGGCGGCCTTCATGACGGGCCGCTACCCCATCCGCTCAGGTACGCGCCGCAGCGCCGGGCCTGGGCCTCCCCCCGCCCCCACCCCCCAGCCGCGGGCAGCCTCCCACCTGCGGGGGCTCCGGGGCTCCCGGGGGGCCTGACGCCGGCTTTCCCCTCCCCTGCTCCAGGCATGGCGTCCCAGGCCCGAATCGGAGTGTTCCTCTTCTTGGGCTCTTCCGGGGGACTTCCCCAGAGCGAGGTGACCTTCGCCAGGCTTCTGAAGGGCCAAGGCTACGCGACCGCGCTGATAGGTGTGCGGGGCGGCGGGGCGGCGGGGCGGGGGCGGGCGGGGGCGGGCGGGGCGGGCTGACCGCGGGTGGGGGCAGGGAGTGGGTGGCACTTCAGGGTCCGCGCGGCTGGTGCTGTGGGCACCAATGGAAATAGGAAGAAAATGGCGTGGGTTCTAATTTAGAGCACAGTGCTCCCGCCTGGGCTGTTCGAATGTATACATGCGTGTTGTTGTGTGTGGGTTTATGCACGTTTGTTTGTGGATGCATGGATGATAGATGGGTGGGTGGGTGGCTGGGTGGCTGGGTGCATGGATGGATGGGTGGGTGGATGGGTGCATGGGTGGATGGATGGAGGGCTGGGTGGCTGATTGGATGGGTGGGTGGGTGGATGGGTGGCTGGTTGGGTGGGTGGGTGGGTGGATGGGTGGCTGGTTGGATGGATGGGTGGATGGATGGGTGGGTGGATGGGTAGCTGGTTGGATGGGTGGGTGGGTGGGTGAGTGGGCGAGTGCATGGGTGTGTGGCTGGGTGAGCGATTGGATGGGTGGATGGCTGGCTGGCTGGGTGGGTGGATGGAGGGAGGGATGGATGGGTGGCTGGTTGGATGGGTGGGTGGCTGGTTGGATGGGTGGGTGGATGGAGGGAGGGATGGATGGGTGGGTGGGTGGCTGGTTGGATGGGTGGGTGGGTAGATGGGTGGATGGCTGGGTGGGTGGGTGTGAACAGAGGGAGGGATGGATGGAGGATAGAGGCATAGACAGATGGGAAGGTGAATGGACGGATAGGAAGATAAATGGATGGATGGATGTACATGTATGGATGGAAGGATGGGGAGAAAGCAGAGAGATGGATCGGTGGGGAGGTGGAAGGAAGGACAGAAGGAAGAAGATGGATGTGGAGTGGAAGGTGCAGGTGATAGTAGGTGGATGGGGCAATGGGCAGATGGAGAGTCAGGAGCACTGGGTGGACATACGGATACAGAGCAGACCAGGGATGAGACGGACGGATGGAGGGACAGGTGATGGGTAATGACAGGCACCCAGGAAGATGGACAGACAGATGGGTGTGTGGGTAGATGAAGGGACAGATGACACAGGTGATAGACAGAGACAAGGATACACAGATTCACAGATGAGGTGGCTCATGGACGCATGAATGGATGGACGGACAGACAAGTAGATGGAAAGATAGATAAGTGACAGACACAGACGGGAATGACGGATCCATAGGTGACCTGGACGACAGGTAGATGCATGACTAAGACAGACAGGTGGAACAGATGGTAGATGATGGACATAATTATAGTCACACGGCGCATGCAAACCATGCAGACACACCATGCTATGGACGACGGTCTTCATCCTACTTTTTCACACTAAACCTTGGCCCTACAGCAATCCGTCTGGTCGACATTGCCATGTGGACTTTATCCATCGATAGGAATCATGGGTCCCCCTCTAGTTGATAGCCTGGGACCCGTAAGGCGGAGCCCGCAAACTCTCATGGGGTGCAATTACCATTCTCGTGCCCCGCCCATGTTGTCGTAAAACCATCATCTTTTTTTTTCCCTCCCTTTGGTGAGGCCCTCACTCGTTGAGCGGTGTAATTAACATTTCATAAGAAATGTTCACAGGTCGTTAAAATAATTGCCGAGTTACCAGTACGATTTCCTCATGCCTCGGGGGCAGGTTTTTGAAGAAAGGATTCCTTTCCAGTTTTAACATTCACAAGACACAATCAAGTTGGTTGCAAGACTTTCGTTTTAAGAAAGTGTGTTTTAAAAAAATCTATCTCAGAAGAACATGCCTTTCTCCTATATAGTTACATAGGTTCATGTAATACAGAGTCTGGCTGAAGTAAGACTGTTCTGGGGTGCTTGTTAGGTAGGGTGCGTGAGTGCCCCGCACGAGATGGACAGCAATTGGGACATTTCACCCCAAATGTCCTAGGGCGTGCTTGTGGGTGGATCATTCTGCTGCAGAATTGCATGCTCATGCTTTTCCTCATACAAGCTTTTTAGGGCATTAGGAAGGGGCGTTATTCGTGCTGGATCCTGTGGGTCAGGTTTCGTCACGGTGTGTGTTAGATTTTTTTCCCCCGCCACCACCTCCCTTCTTGTTCTGCGGTAGAGCGACTGGGGGACGCCGTTGCGGCTGTAGAAAAGGAAGCAGGAACAGTCTAGGGTAGTGGAGGATAGGACGTTGGCTGACCACACACAGGCGGAAGGCTCCTGCTTTCCAGCCTGCTGGAAGGGGCGACTCGGGGGACTGACCGTGCGTGCCGCCCGCCTGTCCCCCTCCCCGCCCCCGCAGGGAAGTGGCACCTGGGCACCCACTGCCACAACAACAGCGACTTCTGCCACCACCCGTCCAGCCACGGCTTCGACCACTTCCACGGCATCCCCGTGACCAACCTGCGGGACTGCAAGCCCGGCGGGGGCACCGTGTTTAAGGCGGCCCTGCGGCTGCTGGCCTTCGCGCCGCTGCAGGTGATCGCCATCGCCCTGCTCACCCTGGCGGCGCTGCGCTGGCTGGGGCTGCTGCGTGTGCCGGGCCTGGTCTTCGCGGGCCTGCTGCTCCTGGCCGCCGGCATCCTGGGCGCCCTGCTGGGCTTCCTGCACTACTTCCGGCCCCTCAACTGCGTGCTGCTGCGGGACCGCCGCATCGTCCAGCAGCCGCTGTCCTACGACAACCTGACGCAGAGGCTCACGGACGACGCCACCCAGTTCATCCGCCGGTGGGTACCGCAGTGCCGCAGGATGGGGGGGCAGGGCGTTGCGGGGGGGGCACAGCTCCCCTGCAGTGGCTACAGCCGAGGCGATGAGGACAGTCATGCACACTCTTTCCTTTTTCTTTTTTAAACATTTTATTTATTTATTTTTAGAGAGGGAAGGGAGAGAGAGAGAGAGAAACATCCATGTGTGGTTGCTGGGGCCTGCCGCCTGCAACCCAGGCATGTGCCCTGACTGGGAATCGAACCTGCGACGCTTTGGTTTGCAGCCCGCGCTCAGTCCACTGAGCTACGCCAGCCAGGTCTTACACTCTTTCCATTTTCCCTCTAAGCCGTGCGGTGGCAATGAGTTGTCCCCCAGGAGCACTGTGGGGTTTACTAAGGGGACAGTCAAGACAAGGAGGGCAGGCACAGGAGGCACACGGGTGTGCGGGAAGCTCCCACGAGGCGCACGGAGCCAGACAGCTGGCGGGTGGGTTTCTCGGGGGCCAACCAGACGTGGAGGGCAAGAGGTGTGACTCACCGATCCCCTTCAGCCCCCTGGGATGCAACCCCCCCTGGCCCCCCCCACACACACACAGGGACCGAACCTGGGCAGGGACATGCCACTCTCAGCCACCATCTGTGTGTTGTCACCAGCTCCCACCGAGCACAGTTAGGTGGGCTCTGAGTTAACCAACACTTTCGCGACGCCGCGGAACTCTCTCGGTGACAGATCTGGGCCGGTTCCAAGACGGCTCCGTTTGGCTTCCAAAGTGTCCGTGTTCACGACGGAGCGTTAACTCCGGGAGGTCCGTTCTACAGTGAGACCTAGACGTATGGTGGGATGTAGAGTTGAACTGACATGACAAAGGTGTTGGAGCCCTGGCTGGCGTAGCTCCGTGGATGGAGCACGGGCTGCGAACCAAAGCGTCGCAGGTTCGATTCCCAGTCAGGGCACATGCCTGGGTTGCAGGCCACGGCCCCCAGCAACCGCACATGGATGTTTCTCTCTCTCTCTCTTTCTCTCTCCCTCTCTTCCCTCTCCAAAAATCAATAAATAAAATCTTAAAAAAAAAAAAAAACTTCTATCCATCTTGAGTTTAAAAAAAAAAGAAAGGTGTTGGTACAAGGAGGGACACCTCGAGGTCCCGTCCTGGCTGGGTGGCAGGGTGTGTGTACTCCGAAGGGAACAGCCTCGTGGAGCGGTTTGCATTCACGTGAACCCCCCCCCGCCCCCCCCACAGACAGGGAAGGGCAGAGCTGGGGAAGAAAGGTGGGCATCGCCCGCCGTGCTGCGCTGGGAGGGGAGGTGGTCTCCGTGGCGCACCCAGCACTGCAGTCTGCTGCCTGTAGAGGGCGACCGTGAGTCTCCCCACGGAGACCCTCGGTTCCCTCCCCTCCCCCCAATAACAAAGCCAGGGGCCTTGGTGCCAGCGAACTCCGTGTGACCCCAGCGAGCACGGCGGCGGGTGCACTGACCCCGCTCCCGGGCTTGTCCCCCCACCCCCCCAGGAACGCCGAGACGCCCTTCCTGCTGGTGTTCTCCTGCCTGCAGGTGCACACGGCCCTCTTCGCGTCGGCCGACTTCGCCGGGAAGAGCCAGCACGGCCTGTACGGGGATGCGGCCGAGGAGATGGACTGGAGCGTGGGTACGTGGGTCTGGGTGTCCAGGGCGTCCGTCCGTCCCTCCGCTGCGGCCCAGTCTCTGCCGGCTTCCAGCCGCCTCGCCGTGGGGGCTGGGGGGGCGTCCTCCTTGTGTCTCCGCACCTCCCCCATGCCTTTGTAGAGGGTGCGGGTGGTTCTGTTCGGGCACAGAGAGGGGAACCCCACAGACACCACGTGGTGGCCCAGGGAGGGATGTGTCTCCAGGGATGTGGGGGAGGTGGGGGGGTGGCGATCAAAGAGGTGATGCAGACAGGGGCCGGAGCGTGAGCCCCCACCTCACCGGAGTCCGGTGACGACAGCGCAGTGTGGGCAGCACGCTGTCTGTGGCACAAACCGGCGGGTTCCCCTGCCGAGAGCAGCCCGGGTGCATTTCCCACGGGGTCCCCTGGGGCTGCCCGGGGTGTCACCGCCGCCACAGTGCGCTGCTCCGTCTCCTCCTCCTGGAGCTCGTGTTCCTCTGGCCGCGTCTTTGAGGGCTCCCGATGTCCTTGTCCTCCATGTCCCCTCCCCGGCTCCCGGAGACCCTGTGTCTCGACGTGGGGCGTTTCGTCTCCGCAGACGTCTGCGGAGACGTGTGATCCAGGCTGTTCGCAAAGGGCGTGGCGGGCGCGTCCGTATGAGCATCCACGACCGACCGAGCTCTCTCTGTGGTTGCCCCTGGCGCAGCTCGGGGGTCTGGCGTGGATCCCGCCGTGCGGGGGGGACTGGGGGGAGGGGAGGGGGAGATGTGGCTGAAGCCCGGGGCGTGGGAGGCCGCCGGGCCCAGAGCCTCCCGTCCAGCCCGGGTCGGCCCTCTGCAGGGGCACTGTCCTGGGTCTGCATCGCCCAGTCCGCCTGGACTACATGCTCCCAAGGCCACCAGTCGGCCAGGCCGCTGGAGCATTTTGTGTGTGTGCTTTCTTTCCTTTTTTTTTTTTTTGTTTGTGTCTTGTTTTTCCGTCCTGTCCTCTGTGTGTGCTGCATGGGTGGTTTTTCACCTTGCAGCCCAGGCGCTGGAGGAGTGCTTGAACGGTTCCACCGTGTTTCTGTTGTGGAGGGTAGTTTTATTTTTCTTTCTTTTTTTTTTTTTATTTCATTGCTCCATCCCGATTTCCATCCAGGATGGCGTGTATTCGTTTCAGCTTCAGGTGTGCTTGAACCGAGGGGTCCGTCAGGGGCTCACTGCTCGGCCTCAAGCAGCAAATTGAGGGTCATGATACCCCCTGCTGTGGTGGCTGCAGGGACGCGTTCTGCTTTTCCCCTTCTTTTCCCCTTCCTTCCTTCCTTCCTTCCTTCCTTCCTTCCTTCCTTCCTTCCTTCCTTCCTTCCTTCCTTCGTTTCCTTCTTTGTCTCTCTCTCTCCCCCTCCCTCTCTTTCTTTCTTTTTTCTCTCTCTCCTTCCTTCCTTCCTTCCCCCTCTCTTTCTCTCTCCTTCCTTCCTTCCTTCCTTCCTTCCTTTGTTTCCTTCCTTTGTTTCCTTCTTTGTCTCTCTCTCTCCCCCCTCCCTCTCTCTTTCTTTCTTTCTTTCTCTTTTCTTCCTTCCTTCCCTCCCTCTCTCTCTTTCTTTCTTTTTCTCTCTCTCCTTCCTTCCTTCCTTCCTTCCTTTCCTTTCCTTCTTTGTCCCTCTCTCCCTCCCTCCCTTTCTCTCTCTTTCTTTCTTTCTTTCTTTCTCTCCTTCCTTCCTTCCCCCCTCTTTCTCTTTTTCTTTCTGTCTTTCTCCTTCCTTCCTTCCTTCCTTCCTTCTCTCCCTCCCTCCCTCCCTCCCTCCCTCTTTCTTTCTCTTTCCTTCCTTCCTTCCTTCCTTCCTTCCTTCCTTCTCCCTGTCTCTCTCTTTCTTTCTTTCTCACTCTCTCCTTCCTTCCTTTAAGTTTTGGAAGGAGCACCGTCCCCAGAAAGAGGCACACGAGCCCCGTGTGCTGACTCCTAACTCTCTAACTAACTACATCTGTGAGGCTGACACACAGCTCGGGTCTCCGGACTTCCCGCCCACCATCTGCCTGCCCGGGAGGGATTCCGAGGAGGCGGGTTCCAAGTTTCTGTGTGTGCTTTTCCGCGTCGCTCTGTGACTCTGCACAACAGCAGAGGGGAGGGCGGATGGGGAGTCCAGGGAAAACAATCGCAGAGTGCCCCCCCCCCCCGTGAGATCTGTGACAAGAATGCATTCTAGTCCTGGCTTTCGAGGACAAGCCTGCCTCCTTTGATTTTTTCCCTTCCTCCACGTGGCGCATCGATCAGTTCCGTTTTCCGCGGCTTTGGGGTGCCAGTGAGGAGGATGCATTGGGGTGCGAACCAGGGGAACACAGTGTGTTTTTTTTTAAGATTTTATTTATTGATTGATTTTTAGAGAGGGAAGGGAAGGAGAGAAACAGAGAGAAACATCCATGTGTGGTTGCTGGGGGCCGTGGCCTGCAACCCAGGCATGTGCCCTGACTGGGAATCGAACCTGCGACGCTTTGGTTCGCAGCCCGCGCTCCATCCACTGCGCTACGCCAGCCAGGGCACGGTGTGTCTTTAATGAGTGTGATATTCCCACGGAACAGGCTTCTCACACAAGTCCGAGGACGCGGTTGGCTGGCGAGCAAGCCCACGCCGGCACGGCCACCATCACACACGAATTTGTGTGCTGTCTACTCGGACTTGACTGAAAGTACCACTTGCATTGGTTTCATCACTGGTCTCCCTCGAGTGGAACAAGGAGCCTGTTTTTCAGTGTTTCAGATCTGTGTTTGTGTCTTATCTAACGTTAAGAGATGAGTGGTTGTTTGGAGGTCTGGTTTTTTTATTGTTGTTGTTTTCTATTTTTGTTGTGGTTTGTTTTTTGCCCAAAAGCAAGCCCCTCCCCCTAAGCTGTGGCGTCCGTTTGTCCGGGCGGTTCTGCTGTTTCGCCAGCCCGGGGCACTGGAGCGTGCTGAGGGTCGCCCCTGCTCTCTCAGAAGGGCCCTTTGTCATCACCTAGCAGTGCACTGCAGCATTCTGCATGCCCACGGGCTGACTTCGGGGAGGGCGCTGGCCGCCCCGAAACCCTGCACGCCCTGGAGGCGGCTCCCACGGAAGCACCCGGGGGAAAGCCGCTCTCCAGTGTCTCTTGCTGTGAGAGCGCTCCTTTCCCGAGGGCAGGAGGCGGCCTCCGTGGGCGGGGGAGCTCGGCTCTGCCCACCCCAGGTGTCTGTGTCCCCGTGAGGCCACGTGCATCCCCGAGAGGCTCAGTGACTTAATGGTCCGCCACGGCCCGGCCCACGCTGGGGGCGTGAGTGCCTTCCTCAGCCGCATGGCTGCAGATCTTGCATGGCAGTGACAGCTGAGGAAAGGCTGACCCGCCCCCCCCAACCCCCGGGTGTGGTGGGAGGGCTCTGGAAGGGGTCTGTTTGCCGTGAAAGCACTCGGGGACAGCCAGAACCCTGCCGCTCTGACGCAGGTCGAGGTGAGGTCAACCTTCCTCCATAATCACAGCTACCAGCGCTGAACTGAGTGCCCCGTGCCACCCGGCCGTGACCTTCACCCGCTGTGTGCTGTGCACAGCTTGTGTGACCTGGTCGCCGCCCCCGTCCTGTGGGGGGAGGCAGGTGAGGCTTGGGGGAAGGTTCAGTGCGTCGTCTGCCTCAGGCTGCTGAGTGTGTGGGGGCGGGGCAGGCGGCCCAGCAGAGCCCCCCCACACCGCTGCCCCGGGAGTGGGAAAGGCCGAGGCACGCAGGGGACCCACTCAGCAGTGAACCACAGGGAAAGAGCTGGTCCGTTCCCTAGTTACAGTTTTGGATGCCGACAGCACGCCCACTGTATCTTGGACGAGAGATACAATGATGGTAACACTTAAGAAAACTTCGGGCTACTCAGGGACTCGAGATACTTCCGGGAGCTCTGGGAGGGGACAGACAGGGACAAGGGGGTGTGTCCCGAGGGAGGGGCGGGTGCAGTGCTTGAGCAGCCCAGACAGGGGCCGGGTGGTGGGGAGGGGCCAGGGGGCCGCAGCCCGCCTCCCCACTTCTGCAGAGCACCTGGCTGCGGGGACACAAGGTGACGTCTGAGCTTCGTCTGGAGCTGCGTTTCGGGGAGGCCACGCGGGAGAGGGACGTGAAGGGACGTCGCATGTTATTCTGACACACAGAGGGGATTGTCTCATCCACAAGCAAGGTCCAGGCGTCCGTGGTGGGGATTCTTTGTGCGTTTACCCTCACGGAGCTTTGCATCCTCCTGCACAGGGCGGTGACCGGCAGAGATGGCCTTGGTCAGGGAGGGTCTCGGTCCGTGAGATCTGGGTGGAAATCGCGGACTCTTTGGCCAGGACCTCACACGCGGAGTTGGGACCCTGAGGGTCAGTGGGCAGCGGTGGCATCTCCCCTGCACAACGTACATTCCTCGGCCGCTGTCTTGGCGCCCAACACACCTAATAATTTAGTGGGTGCTGCATACACTTGAGTTTGCCCTGTATGACCTTGTCTGTGTGGGTGCCACGGGCCACCTCGGCCGGTGGGCGGCCCTTCATTCTCCTGGATGACGGGTGTGGGTCTCTCCCCTGGGAGTCGCTCCAGGGGCCGGCTGGGGCGTCTGTTCATTTGCAGGAGTGCTGGTCTGCACAGGTGCGGGCGGTCCCGGAGATGCAGGCGTCCGGGCGGGGCCTCCTGTCCCCCGGGGAACGCGGACAACAACGCCAGCTGTCAACAGGAGAGAGAAGGGCATTCCCACTGCAGAGCCGGCACCCAGGGCTCCTCTGCGGTTGGGGACCGAGGCAGCTTGTGGCCACCAGGGGCTCTGAGATGAGACGTTAATTGGATTAACTGTCCCTCTTCCCCCGTCGTGGGTGGCTGTCGGTGCTGAAACCGTGTTCCCTGCTCTTGCTCCGTGACCCCCCGCCCGACCCACCCGTTTGCCCCCAGAGCTGACGCACCACCTACGCATCTCATCCGTCAGGGACTCTGCTCTCACCGGCGTGTGTTTTAAACGCCCCTGTTCTTGCGGCTGAGTCCTGGCCTGCAAAGACTCATTTCCCCCTCCGTCATCAGCCTATTCTTGATGTTAAACGTTTGCTCCAGGTGCGCCCACCCACCTGCAAAGCCTGACCCCAAGCAGGGTGTCGGATAAGCCAACCAAATGAGGGAACGTGCATTGTGTGGGGTTTTTTTCTGTCTCTTTGCTGCTTATAACGGGAGCTTCCGCCACATGGGCGTTCATGGCAAAATTGTTAATCTTCTGCAGAAGGAGGCTGTTTCTGACCTTAGCCTGGAGCGGTAAACAGCACGTCATAAGAGAAGGAAAGGATTGGGAGGTGCTAGGTAGGGCCAAGGCAGACCCACAGGTGAGGCTGTAATACATATTCACACATGCATTGTGCTGAGTATTGATTGGGGCGTTGCAAGTAATTTACCTTATAAATCATTCACCTCTGGGCTACCCAAAGTCTGTCATAACGTTACCCCTTTTGCAAAGCCTGGAGCTTAATTGCATGGTCCCCAGCCCACCTGGGATGCCCTTTTGCCTTGCATGTCCGTCTCAAAGTTTATAAATCATTTCCGTAAGGAAGATAGCATCGTCAATCATCCAAGAGGCCGCGGACCGGTGAATTCAAACAGTATTACTAGGCTATCGGGCAGTGTTTTCGTAATCCGAGGGACAGCAGCAGCAGCAGCCTAGCGGCAGCCACAGCCACAATGGTAATAATTAAACACTTAGTGACTCACAACCACTATACTTGAGGGACTTCAGTGTCTCCTGGCCACTTCTCGCAGCATTGTACACACACGACTGACTGTGCTAGGAGATGCTCAATGCCGTCTCTAGCCTGCGGGTCGGAAAGGGACCCTGCAAGGGGTCACGGAACCTGAAGAGATTTCTGGACTGTCTGCCCAGGGAGCCCACACCCCTGCCCACTCCTGCCCGGCAGGGATGTTCCAAAACTCTCATCTGCACTTTGATCCACACTTATTTACCCTATGCCCCATCCTGTGTCCTGGCCCTCGTCCTGGGTTCATTGGAAGGAGACGGTGGCTGTCGTGTGCATTGTGTGGGGATATTCCAGGGCATACCTATAATTCACACACCCCCACACTGCCAGTGTCCTTTTTACTGCCCAGTGGTTCTCGGGGAGCCCATCCACGTGACCACGCGGAGCTCGGGGATCTGGGTTCAGAGCCGGACCTCACGCTTGGTTCCTGGCTTCCTCGCCCCCTCCCTGTGGGAGATGGAGCCGCTCACGTATCTTTCCGGAGCATGGCCGCTGTCCCTGGTCGAGCGGATGACGCAAACGCGTCTCCTCACGGTGGTATAAGCAGGCTTCCACGTGGCGTAAGCAGGAGAACACGTGAGCACACCCTGTGTGTGCGTGCAGACAGAGCTGCCGTGGTGGTGGTTCTCCACGGGGATGATGTTGTGGATTTGCAGAGCTGTTATCTGGGGGCAGAACGCGAGGGTAGGTTTGGGGGAAGGAGGCGAGGACAGGAAAGAGGAACGTGGGAGCGGTATCGATAACTCGCGTTGGGTGGCTTGGGACCTGAGTACCTACCATAAGAATTGTAAGAAGCAATCCATCACGAAGTATCTGTAGACAGATTTCTTCATACAAGAGGGACATCCGCGGTTGGGCGTTTTCTTCTTTCTAGTCAATAAGGACAACGTGCTGGGCTTCTTGGTCACTCGAGGACCGTGGACAGCTGGCCTGTGTCTCCTGGCCAGTTCCTCCACACGGTGACCGATGACCCATGAGCCTGAGTCCCGTAGGACACTTTATCGGGTCCCTTTGCGGAGCCGCCCTGCACTGCCCAGGGCCCCCGGGGTGGCTGATGGGTGCCACGCAGCTCCGGGACTGACTCTGCTGGTTGTCTGGCCGCTCGGGCCTGCCGGCGCGTGCCCCGGTCACCCCTCCTGTCCCTCGCGGTCCACCAGGGAGAGCGGCGGACGCCCCTCCCCTTCCGGCCCTGAGTCACGGGCAGACACGCCCACGAGGCCACCTGGGCTGCGCCTCCTCCGTCCGGACCGAACCGTGTTCTCACGTGGACGGTTTCCTTCCCCTCAGGGCAGATCTTGAACGTTCTGGAGGAGCTGCGGCTGGCGAACAACACCCTGGTGTACTTCTCGTCGGACCAGGGCGCCCACGTGGAGGAAGTGACCGCCAGAGGGGACGTGCACGGGGGCAGTAACGGGATCTACAAAGGTGGGCACGCGCCTCGGCCCCGGGCCCCCAGCTCTCCCACGCGCCGCGCCGTCCTGGGTCCCCCGGCACCCGCGGGGCTCTGCCGGCGCTCGGCCGCGCTCAGGACCTCCTTATGTCCCTGCCACCGAGCAGGGGGCTAAAGGGGCGGTCCCGTCTGCCGGGCTCCCCCAGAACCTAGAGGCACACACATCGCGTCCTGTTGTGCGGGACACGAGACCCAGTCATACATGGAGCCGTGTGCTTCCTGGGAAGTGTGGCACAGGAGACCCAGTCACACATGGAGCCGTGTGCTACATGCGAACAGGAGCCACCGTGCCCAGCTGTGCTGCGTCCGCCCCGCCTGCCTTCAGCCTTATCTCAGGGCGGTGGCGGACACCCACACGTGTCTTCCCGTGTCGTAAAACTGGGCGTGGCTGTCCTGCCTCCCGGAGGACACGGCCCCCGTGGAGAGCGTCGATTTCTGCTTGTTTTATAGCCGCCGGCGTCGGCAAACACGTAGTTGCAGGCTGCCTTGCGCACGGTGGTCCCCTCGCCGCCTCGCTCTCTGCCCCCAGACCTGCTAGCTCCCGAGGTCGCGTCATGGCTGCTGGCCGTGGCCGTCCGCCGAGGTCATGGCCGTGGCTAGCAAGCAGTGGGTTCCTTAGGGGAGGGACTGCAGAGCCTCGGTCCAGGCACAGGTGCCCCCGCACTGCTGGCTGACGCCTGTGCGGAAGGCTGATGACACAGATGGGGGGACTGGGGACCGGCCTTGGGCTGTCACGGGTGGGGGGGTGGCCTCGGCAGACCTGAGCGTACGGGGTGAGAGGGAGAGCGTCGAGGGTCCTGAACGGCGGCTGGGAGCTGGGGTGGCCACGCCTTCCTAACCGCAGGCCAGCGGCAGCCCCGTGGTTCACTGACGGTTCTTTATCAGCCGGGGCTTGCCGTAATAATGAGCTGTGGCCAGTCGGGTGGCTGGAAGCTTCGTGCATCCTCTCGTTGCCTTGGAGCTCAGAGGTGGACACCGGGTGCAGCTGAGGTGCCGGCAGCACTGTGGCTCCTCTGAAGGTTCCCGGGGAGTGCACCCTGGCTGCCTTTTCCCGCATCTCTTGTCACCTGGCCCCCCGGCCTGTCACCTGGCCCCACCTCCAAAGCCTCCAGCGCAGCCTCTCCTGGGGCCTCTCTCCCCACAGCCCCTGCCTCTCCTCTCCCCGTGTCCCCCCCTGTTCCTCGTAGGGACCTTGATGATGACCCCGGACCCACATGGGGAGTCCCGATAACCTCCCCTTCAGCCACACCAGGTCCTATAGCCCCAAGTTTTTGGGGGTGGGGCATGGGCACTTTGGGGTGCCACCCTTTTGCTCCCCGAGGCTGGGACAATGTAGGCGTGGGTTCGAACGCTGACACTGAGGCTGTGGTTGCAAGTGCTGTGTTGCTGAGGCTCACAGGTGACGAGGCCGTCGTGGGGGACCCCAGGTGGCACGGGGCGTGCAGGACCCACAGCAGCGCCTGCCTCCTGGGTCACTTTTTTAAGGCAGCGTTGTCTGTGTCCTTGCAACACTTGCGTTGCCTGTCTGAGGATGCCCGGGCACGAGCCTGCAGAGGACTCAGCTCTCCCTGCCACCTGTGCGCCTTGCCTTTCAGGAGGAAAAGGCAACAACTGGGAAGGCGGTATCCGCGTGCCGGGCCTGCTGCGCTGGCCGGGCGTGCTGGAGGCTGGGGTGGAGGTGGACGCGCCCACCAGCAACATGGACATCTTCCCCACGGTGGCCACGCTCGCGGGGGCCGAGCTGCCTCGGGACAGGTACCGTGCCGCGGAGAACTCCCCGGGGCTGGGGGGGTGCGGGGCCGGGTCTCCGTCAGACCTGGGGGTCGGGTGGGCTGTGGGACTGGTCACGCGGGGCCCTCCCTGGGGGCAGCTGGGACGCAGAAACCCCTCTGCCAGGGCTGCTGTCCTGCTGGCACGTGGACTCCCGGGCTGGGGCGTGCAGTGTGGCCTTGCACGGATGTGTCTCCCACATGCCCGGGGCCCCCTGTTCCTGCCCAAGGACACACCCACCAGGCACCGCCCCCTGGAACCGCCGTGCCCTATGGCACACCTGGGGTCCTGCTCCCCTTGGCGGTGGCGGCGGCAGCAGCAAGGCAAGGCAAGCAGCCGGGCCCCCACGTAAGGGCCCTGCTCCCCAGTGTGCACGTTCACGTAGCGAGTCCTAAATGCCATGTCTTCCTCTGAAGTTCAACCTTGACTCCCCAGCACGCTGCCACTGCCGCCGTCGGGGGCTGGTGAGGGGAGCCGGCTGACAGACGGTGCTCATTGGCTGGGGGGCCGCCGGGCTGATGTCCCGCCGCGGGGCCGCACGTCCCAGCGGCCAGGGACGCGCAGAGGGGCAGGGAGGGGACCCAGGCACAAGGACACTGCCGCTCTGCCGCAGCGGAGGCCTGGAGAGCTTTGCCCACCTCCCGTGGTTCGCGGGCTTGTCTCCTTGCTCACGTCTGAGGTTCTTGTGGTTTTCACGCTCCTCCGTGAGACGTCCCTTCCCCAGCCCCGCTCACACACACACACACACACACACACACACACACACGGGCGCGTGCGAGGAAGGCAACACCATGCAGCTTGGCCGTGCTCAAGCTTTGAGGGTTCAAGACCCATGGCCGCTGTTGTTGCTGTTTTTTAAATTCTCACCCGGGGATATGTTTACTGGGTTTTTTTTTTTTTTTTTTTAAGATTTCATTTATTTATTTTTAGAGAGGGAAGCGAGGGAGAAAGAGAGAGAGAGAGAAACATCAATGTGCAGTTGCTGGTGGCCGTGGCCTGCAACCCAGGCACGTGCCCTGACTGGGAATCGAACCTGTGACGCTTTGGTTCGCAGCTCACGCTCCATCCACTGAGCTACGCCAGCCAGGGTTTACTGGTTTGAGAAAGTTAGAAACAGAGAGATGGAGAGAGAGAGAGAGAGAAACATAGACAGACAGACATCGATGTCAGGAACATCGCTGGGTTGCCTCCCATCAGCCCTGAGGCTGGGAACCCAACCCGCAACCCGGGCGTGTGCCCTGACCTCGGGGGATCGAACCGGCGACCTGCTGGTGTTGAGCCCACGGCTGGTGACCTGCGGGCAGCCGTGCCGTAGATGCTCGCAAATAGGTCCCCTCCGTGTGGCCGCGACCCGGGTGAGCAGCTCCCTGCCTGCAAACGCTGATCAGGGGCCCTCCTTCATCCTCAACCATGACGCTTCAGAGTTGATGCGTCGGAACATTTCAAGGACAAAAATGCCTTTCTGGACAGACACTTGGCGTCCCTTTTGTGAAAGATACACGCTTTCCTGTACAAGCGTTTTTTTTTTTTTTTTCCCTAGGATTTTCTGCATTTAAAACATCACTTGATTTTGCTTACCTTCTTATTTCACGACTCTCTTTGGGCCCCCACACTGTTTCAGGTTGGGGGCAGGTGCCCAGGGAGCAGGCAGGAAAGGGGCTTTAGGAGAAGCAGCGGGGGAAACACTTCGGAGTGTGGGGGGTCCGGCCAGCCGGGGCTGCCTCCCAGGGGCTCCTGCTGGTCCCGGGAGCTTGGAGAAGCTCCCTGTTCTCCCTGCCCGTGATTCTTTATCGCATCGTCACGGAAGGGCAACGGCCTCACCTCCTGCTGCCGTTTGGAGGGTTGCAGGAGTTTGCCCGGGGCGGGGCGCGGCTGGCCTCGCCGCATGGTGGACGGCACCCGACACTGGGCAGCTGGCGTCCTTGTGTTGGTTACTCGGTGACCACGACGCAGCCCCCTTTCCCGGGAAGGATGCCTCGGGCGTCGGGGGGTGTCAGCCCCAGCACCGTGCCGTCCCTCGCGCCTGACGCCCGCCTGGCGTGTCCCACAGGGTCATCGACGGCCGGGACCTGATGCCGCTGCTTCAGAGCCGCAGCCGGCACTCGGAGCACGAGTTCCTCTTCCACTACTGCAACTTCTACCTGAACGCCGTGCGCTGGCACCCGCGCAACAGTGAGTCGCCCGCCCCCCACCTTCCCCTGCCTCGGCTGCCGCCTGCGACCCGCGCGCCGTGCGTGTGTAGGGGCGTGCTGGGGGGGCTCATCCCCATGGAGACCCACGGAGGGGGGGCCTGCCGGGCAACTGTGCGTGGCTCTGAGTGCCACCTCCCCTCTTCTCTCGTTCCTCCTGCTCCCGCCCTTGTGCGGGCCGGACATCGGCGGACGTGGCGCCCACCACGTGGACGCCAGGGGTTGGCGGCTCCGGCTTTGGGACAGGCAGCCGCTGCCGCCTGGCGGGGCACGGGGTCCCTTCCTTCACGTTCGGACCGCCGCGTGTCCCTGCGCCCCTCCCATTCTGCGCTCAGCCCCCCTCCTCCGTACGCCGCCGCTGATGGGGGCCCGCAGCTCCCTGCGCCCGCCCGCGAGGGCCTGCCTGCTCTGCTCTCCTGGAGGATGCTTTGCGGTGCCCCCAGCCCCTTGGGACACGCCGCGTCCTGGGCCCGCCCTCCAGGAGCTTTCTCCGTCCTGGCGCTGTGCACAGTGGCGCCCTGACCCGCAGGGGAATGCTCGCCTGCTGTCCCCCCCCCCCGCCCCCCGGGAGCCTCAGGGTGGCGGGTCCTGACTCAGCTGTGTGTGGGGCGTCGTGGATCATGTGGGTTTTCTAGACGTAGATCTTTGGGGCTGAGCTCACGGGCTCAGACGCTCTCGGGGCCTCCCTGGCTGGGCGCTGGGTCCTTCCGGTCGTGGGCTCTGTGAGGGACGGTGTCGCGCTGGGGTTTTCCGACTCCCCGTGCAGAGCTGTCCTCTGGCCGGCCCAGAGGGGCACGTGGGACCAGCGGATGACCCCAAGTGAGCGGGCAGGCATCAGGGTTGGGGTTTTTTTTTCCCCCCATGTATTTAAACGTAGACCTGAGATCCTGTTCACGTCACTGAGGTGCCTCAGGGTCGGTGGAAATGCAGAGATTCTTCATGCCACTGTGCTGTGGCTTTGAGGCAGACGGTGAGGCTGGACGGGGCACACAGTGTGCTCTCGGGAGGTGAGCCGAAGCCCCCCTCTCGGCGGGGGTGTTGGGGGACGCGGCTCCAGGTGGCCACTCTGCCCGGGCGCCTCGTAACTGCCGACCGGGGGCTCCTCTCCACGTCAGAGCGAGGCTCTCGCCGGCTGCTGGCACCCCCGTCTCCCACCCTTGTGCATGCAGCCAGGGCACCGGGGACAGGTCATCCAGCGTGCTCCGTGTCCGTTACTTTTAAAGTGGACAGCTCCCTTTCCGTAACCCGCAGGCATCCAACCACCTTCCCCCATAGAAAACAAAGTTTCACCTCTATGTGCAGGCATTTGCCCTGGGGGCTTCTCTCGGGGGGCGGGGCGGACCCCAGAGCCGCAGGGCCGAGGCCTGGAAGGGCCATGTGTGCCTGTCCCGGCCACGTGTCCCTCCGTGCAAACCCCCCCGGGAGGGACGCCGTCACCCTTGGTAGGGGCGCTGGCAGCACCGCAGGTCTCGCCCCTCGAGGGAAGGAGAGCTGCCCTTCTCCCCACCTCTGTGTCCACGGAGCCCCCCAAAATGCAATCAGCTCCATTTCAGCGATGCTCCAGTGTCTAAAAAAGGACAGGGATGCCCTGAACTTTGCAAAAAGCGCAGTGAAATAAAGGCGGCCCCGCCCAGGGAGAGGCCGGAGGGCGGGTGTCGGGTCGGGGGCTGGGTCGGGGGCTGCCGCAGAAACACGGAGTGAGGGGGCGTTCCCAGAAGCGGGGCAGGGGGAGACAGGAGACAGGGGTCCATGGGGGGAATGGGACCCCGATCCTGAGAGGCAGCAGCCCCCCGCTGCCCGGGATCAAACCTGCTTCTTGGAGAGACGCATCCTCTCACACAGGGTCTTACGATCCCCTGCCTCAGACCAGCCACCAAAGGGCAGAAATCACGGTCAAGCCATGCTGGATGGAGTCACCTGTCCGGCTCGAGGGTCTCCGGAAGCCGTGGTTCCGTGAGTCCTGTCTCACTCACGTGTCAGGTGGTACCGGACCCTGAGTCCCCGTGGCGGGCGCCTCGGCCACCGCGCACGGCGTGTGGTGGGCGACCTGGCCTTTCATGTACTTGTTGGTCCTGTGGACATTCGGGGAGCAGCTCCGGAGTGCACCGAGAGGGGGAGGGGGACTGGTCTGTGAACACGGCGGTTTGACGGGACGTCTCACGGGGGAGGTGACAGTCACAGCTCTTTGGTGGACAGTCGTCAGCTGAGCAGCGGGTGGGTTCCCACGCTGCTCACGTGTGAGACCGTGTTCTGCCAGAGAGGCGTGAGCAGGGGTGACTCCCCCGTGCACGGAGTTCCCCGTGAACTGGAGACACACATCAGTGCGTGCCCGCCTGGTGCGTTGGCTGAGGCCCTCTTGGGTCCACGTGGCTCGGGGGTGGCCAGTGACCCCTGGACGGCCTGGTGGGGCACTTTCCGTGATTCCTAGTGGGCACAGGGCTGCCGTCCGACCTCAGAACCCTTTCTGAGGAGAGGGAAGGGGACCTCCGGGTGTCAGGGTGAGGAACAGGCCGGGTGGGCTGGAGCGGGGGTCAGCGGTCAGGCATCCATTAGCTCGTGTGTCGCTGCTAACGTGCGGCCCACCGCGTGGGGGGCCGTGTTGGCCCCGTGGCCGTGGGCAGGCACAGCCAGCAGGACGTGGCTCCGCCCCTCGGGCCGGGCTGGCTGTCCCCGGGGCCCAGGGAACTCAAATTGGCGGCAGGTGCTTCGCATCCCAGCGGCGGTCGGTCCGGACCAGTGGGAGGCTGAAATATGACCGTTTGGGACTTGTTTTCCCAAAGCTCAACAGCTACAATCCTGTTTCGACTCTTGTGTAACGGGAACCCCTGTCACCTTTTATGGAGAGTGAGTGTCCCCTATAAGTTAATGACCCTGGAAGTATGACGACTCTGCAACTCGGTTCTCTGGGCGAGGGGAGGAACGTGACTTCAACAGGGACCGATGTCATCATGCCCCCTCACGTTTGAGCAGCCTGCCCCCAAACCTCAAGTGCACCGTAGGTCACTCTTCTTGCATTGACCTGGGGGATTCGGCTCCACAAAGGCGGGCAGGGGGACAGTTTGGGGGGACGCGTGTGCCTGCCTCGGACCAGGTTCCCTGTTCCCATTCCCTGGCGTGCACACCAGGGGCTGGTCCCAGGTGAGCCGGGGCGTCAGGCATGCTCAGCCACAGCCCTTGTCCGAGTCTTCTTTCTTCTCCACGTGGTCGCTCTGCCGTGAGTTTAACGCTGCCCGCCACGGGGGCTGGGAGAGCGTGCCGTCGAACCCACGACCCCCAGGGGCTGGCTCGTTCGGGGTCCGAGCCACAGGCAACAGGGTGCAGGTCACGGACAGGAAGTGGTTGGGGGCCCCACCGTGCCCATCCAGGGACCGTGTGTGTCCTGAAGGCGGGGTGTCCTGGGTGGCCCTGCCCTCGGGAGGTGGGGGGCCCATCCGAAGGTGTTTGGGTCCCAGAGAAGAACTGTGGCGTTTCTGTAGTGTGGCCACCCGCGGGTAACGGGGGTCCTGTTTGGGCCTGCGGATCATGGGTCCTCGAACCCGTGGACAGTGGGTCGCTAGCCCTGGGCCTCCCAGGTCCTCCCTCAGAGACCCCAGACAGGCCACGTTCCCTGGCGCCGGCTGGTCTGAGGCCGGAGGCCGCCTGGGGACCAGGCACGCTCCCGTGGCAGTCGCCCACAGTGAATCCCATTAATTCATTCTCTGTGTGTGTGGATCGGTCACTCGCTAAATACCTATAATTACGGCCGCTGCCATCATTGCTATGATACACGCAAACCTTCCGAGCGGATGAAACGGCGGCGGGAGGCTTGCTGCTGGCGGAGGCCGCGTGATGGACAGGGCCCACCGGTCAGCAGGGCGTGAGGAAGGGCGTGGGTCTTGTGTGGCTCATCCCAGTGGGTCCACGCACGGGCGTTCTGCTTTTCCCGGCCACGTGCTTCTTAGCCAGGCCACGGCTCTGTGGACTTCCGTCTGTCTGCGTGCGGGGGAGGGTGTCTGATCGGCAGCCGGCCCTTCAGGCAGTGAGGACGTTGCAGAATGAACAGGAGATGCATCCGTCCTTTTGTGGCGGGCCGAGACATCTCTTTCTGGCATTTTAGCACGGTGGGGGGGGGGTTTCGTGGCACATGGAGCCCACCCTGGGGCCAGCGACTTCCCCCGATTTGGAGTGTTCGACACCTTTATTCAGCGAATAACAGGTAGACCACACTGTTCCAGGTCGGTCGTGCTTGGTGCATGGGTAGAGAGAGTTCTGCAGGTCTCGTCGCCATCTTGCATCAGAAGGCCCCCCAGCCCCGCCCAGACCCTGTCTGTGCCCCGTTGCAAAACCACCCCGTCCTGGGCCCCCCGCTCATGGGCCGGCGGGTGACAGACATTTGCACGGTCTTGAGGCTGAGAAGAGGGCAGGTTGCCTCTCTGAGGTCCCGGCTGTGCCCTGGCTCTGGGTGGCCGTGCTCGTGCGTGTCTGTGCCTGCGTGTGTGTGCGTGTCTGCGTGCGTGCACAGCGCAGGGTACGCGGGAGCAGGGAGGCTGCCCCTTCCTCCCGTTTGGCGTCAGGCGGACACGCAGGCTGTGCGTGGAGAACCACAGGGAGCGGAGCTGGGGGCTCCCACTCTGTCCGTCCGTGTGCATTTATGGAGAGCCCCCCGGACACTTCCGGGCCAGTTTACAGGACGAAAACGACAGCCCTGTGTGAGTTCTGTGCTGAAACAAGGGGGCTTATTACGCCGTTTCCACAGCCACGCTGCCTAAGGAAGCAGAGATTGGGACGACGTGAGGCAGAGAGGAGGACAGGAGGGGTCAGGGAGAGCCAGGGGCGTGGAATAAGGTGGGGGGGGATGCCTGGGTTTGAACGTCTGTGCAGACCCCCAGCACTGCAGCAGCTGCGGCTCCGTCACGCCCGCCGGTTCCCTGCCTTCTGCGTGGCCCCCACACACAGATGTCACCCTTCATCACCCCGCGGCGTTCCCGGGCTGCAAGCCCAGGCCCGCGAGATCCGGGCGTGTGGTCTGGTGGGCGGTGACCCTGGCCAGCTTTCCCCGCCCCCGTGACCCCAGCTCGTGTCCTTGCGCACCGCAGGCTCGTCCATCTGGAAGGCCTTTTTCTTCACGCCCAACTTCACGCCCGAGGGCGCCAACGGCTGCTTCCTCACGCACGTGTGCTTCTGCAACGGGCGCTTCGTCACCCGCCACGAGCCGCCGCTGCTCTTCGACCTGTCCCGGGACCCCCGGGAGACGAGCCCCGTGACCCCGAGCGGCGAGCCCCGCTTCTGGGAAATCGTGGACGCCATGCAGCGGGCGGCGGAGCGCCACGCGCGCACCGTGCAGGCGGCGCCCAACCAGCTGTCCCCGCAGAACCTGCTGTGGAAGCCGTGGCTGCAGATGTGCTGCGCCTCGTCCTCCGGCCTGTCGTGCCGCTGTCGCCCCGAGGACCGGGACGGGGGAGGGAGCGCGTAGCCGCGTAGCCGCTGCGTGCACGCGCGCCTGCGGGCAGGAGGTGCGCACGCACGCACGGTGCCCGCCCCGCCCTTCTTTTCAGGACCCAAGCAGAGGGGGACTGTCACGGTGCAAACCCAGCATCTCGGACTGCTCTCCCCTCGCTACCTGGTCGCCCAAGGGCCCCGGCGAGAGCCCCACGAGGTCCCTCCCCGTGGGGAAGAAGTCAAGGTTAACAGCGCGCACCGGGACAGATGGTCGATGTACGCCTTCCGCGGTCAAGTGCGCGCACTGGTGTCAGTGCCTGAGGGGGAGTGTACCCCAGGGCGGTGCAGACGGATGCTGGGACCTTGTGAAAGGTAACCTCCCCGCCCCACCCCACCCTGCCACTCGGGGGTGTGCGCAACAGGTCTTCCACCGTCTGCGGGGATGTCACCGACGGCGTGACTCCGCCGGGCCTCCAGCGACGCGGAGAGCCCCGTGTTCAAAGCCATCCGCCCACCTCGGCCTGGGCCCCGGGAGAGTGACCGAACAACCATCCCCTTTGCGAGCAACCGATGGCCACGAGTCCCCATCGGGGGACCAACCGGAAGGCGATCGCTGTCAGTATTACTGAGCTCACACAAGCCATTATTCACCATACCCGTATCGACCCAAGGCCAGTGTCCTGCTTCCCGCGAGAAGGCGGAGCTATTTAAAATACAGCCACCAGCCGCTTACCCCCGTTTCCCGGAAATCAGGAGGATAGATGGATATCCAGGATATTCAGGATGGATAGATGCTGCCTTTCCCCGTGGGCTGCTCATTCCAGACACTGCCCAGAGATCCCGCACACTGTGTGAGACGTGTCCTTATGGAAGAGCGCATTGGGCATGCTCAGCAGGCGGTAGGGTTCGGGCGGATACGGTGGTACAGGAATTACGGAAAGCTGCTGGTATGAGCTTCCTGTGGGAGACGGTTATGTTCATCCCAAGTTTTTAAGGCGTCCGATGCAAGGGGGCTTCCAGACACTCCGTGAGCGGCAGGGTTTCATGACTGGAAACATGTGCATAGATGACGCACACGTATGTTTGTGGACACAGCTCCCTGTTTAACCGGTACCCCGTTCAGACACATGAAGGATACGTAGAGTGCTATGGGAACATTAAATTATTTTGCTCAAGAGAGACTGATCCTTTTTTCATTTATTTTCTTAAAAAGTTTTCTTGGCCCTGGCTGGCGTAGCTCAGGGGATGGAGCACGGGCTGCGAACCAAAGCGTCGCAGGTTCGATTCCCAGTCAGGGCACATACATGCCTGGGTTGCAGGCCACGGCCCCCAGGAACTGCACATGGATGTTTCTCTCTCTCTCTCTCCTTCTCCCTCCCTTCCCTCTCTAAAAATAAATAAATAAAATCTTTTTAAAAATCTTAAAAAAAGTTTTCTTGAATTGCTTGGGGTGATTTGGGGGGATGAAATATTGGGGGTGTCAGGTTCACGGTCCCACAGCACATGGCCCGCATGTTGTCCTGTGTGTTCACCACCCCGAGTCACGTCCCCTTCCATCACCGTTTGTACCCCGCCCCCCGAACCCGCTCCGACCTCCCCCACCCCCGTCCCTCCGGGCACCTCCGCCCTGTCCTCCGTGTCTAAGGAGGGCTCTTCCGTTCTGCCTTCTCCTGCCCTCACGTCAGCGACCTGCCTTCCACGCACACCTTGGTCTCGGTTCTTGAATGACACGGCCAAGTCCCCGTGTTAGCCCTTCCTACGCCTGGCACTCCAGCGGCACGCACGGAGCGGGTACTATTGCCCAAGGTTGGGGACGCGGCATGAAGAGCAGACTCACACCGCCCCCCCTCACCACCACCCCCCACCGCATCCCGGTCGTGAAGGGCTCAGGAGAGGGGGGCCAACTTGAGAGCCCCCTGCCCCACAAAGGGGTCCCTGTGAAGAGAGGAGACACAGCGGGGGGGACGCACTGGGGCTGTGTCTGGGGAACGTGACCTGTCACGGGAGTCCCTCGGGTGGCCGAGGGTTCTGGACACCTCCTCGTCGCGTTCACGCAGAGTGGACACAAAGCCGCCCTGGGCGGTGAGGATGCTGTGCTGTGGTCTGCCTCTGTTCAGCAGATGTGGGGCTGCGTCTGCTATGAGGAATGAGTGTCGAGCCTCTTCAGGCTCAAGGGTCGGGGTGAGGAGTGCAGAGATGGGCAGGCCTCCAAGTAGCCACTGAGCGGCAGGGCGAGAGGGCCAGGCGAGGCCACGAGGTCGTCCAGCGCGCGCACACACACGCTGCCCCTGGCCTTGTCTACCGCTCGCCGGGGGTGGCTTGAAAAAAAAAAATCCACGTGTCCTCATCACCTCCTCCCACTTTGGCAGCCATCGGCTTGTTCTTTGTTGTTTGTTTTGTTTTTTGTGTTTTTGAATCCTCGCCCAAGGATACATTTACTGATGTTAGGAAGAGTGGGAGGGGGCAGAGAGAGAGAAAGAAACATGGATGCCAGAGAGAGACACCGATCAGCTGCCTCCCGTACACGCCCTGACCGGGAGAATCCAAACTCCCAACCTGCCTGCGCACCCTGACGGGGAATCGAACCCGCAGCCTGTTGGTGCACACAAGGAAGCAGCAAGCTGCTCACCCACCTGGCCAGGGCTTTATATCTATGGGTGTGTTTCTGTTTTGTTTATGTATTTTAAATATATTTATATTTATGACTATTTGTGGTGTTTCTTTTTTTTTTAAGATTCCACACACAAGTGAAATCCCGTGGTATTTTTCTTTGACTTACTTTACTTTGCAGAACACGCTCTAGGTCCATCCATGTTGTTACAAATGGCAAGGTTTCGTTCTTTTTCACGGCTGAGTAATATTCCACGGTATATGTATGTACCATATCTTCATTATATTGTCATCTCTCAGTGGACAAAGTGTCTCAATTTGTTTTAAAGTCTGCTGTTAAGGAAAAAGCCCATTGGGGGGGCAGGGTGAAGGTGATAGATTCATGGATATCAACAAATTCCTAAAATAGAGTTTCAGTGTGTTTTAATGTCTTCTGTCTTTATGTAACGTTTTAATCTTAAAATGGAGATTTTTATCTGTATGTTTCTGCATCCATGCTTCCAGGCGTGCTCTCACGGGTCCTGCAGTCCCACAGAGCAGTGCTTTGCAGTGCGGAGGTTTGGAGCAGAGACGTTTAAGGAGTTAAAATTAGCCCTGGCTGGCGTAGCTCAGTGGATTGAGCGCGGGCTGCGAACCAAAGCGTCGCTGGTTCGATTCCCAGTCAGGGCACATGCCTGGGTGGCAGGCCATGACCCCCAGCAACTGCACATTGATGTTTCTCTCTCCCTCCCTTCCCTCTCTAAAAATAAATAAATAAAATCTTAAAAAAAAAGAAATGAAAAAGAAAGTGCAATGCTTATGTGCACTGGCTTTCTTAAAAAAAAAAAGTTAAAATTCGATCCCAAAAGCCTGGTTCCCTCTTCCCTGTGGACTGGGTTGCTCCCGAGGACCACAGAGGGAGGATACAGCGGCCGCAGCAGGACAAAGGAGCGTTTCAGGGGCTCCGGACTTGCACGGGGTCCCGTTTGACCGGGCGATTCTGGAGGAACGCTGACCGTGTGTGCACAGGAAGGCGGGCAGGTGATGCGTGCTGGCTGCGTGGGAGACGGTGGGCATAAGATGCCCACTTCATAGAGGTTCATCTCCGGCTTCCCATGGCGACCAGACCCAGACGCTGTTCCTTTGTCCTCTTTCCTGCCCTCCCAATGCCATGGGGTGTGAACGGCCGCCCCCCCACTCCCCGCGACACGCACGCTGTCTGATCTCCGTGATGTCCGCCCACCTGGCTTCCTGCCCGGCGCATCCCCCCTTGCCCCGACACCTCCCCATCTGCCCAAGACCCCTCCGTCCCCACCCCAGAGGCCTCCCCGCCTGCCCCGGACGCCGTGAGCCAGATCCCTCCGCGCGTGCGCCCTTGCCGTCCTTGCGTTTCCAGCGCTGGGATCCGTTTCTTTGTTTCTTTCTTTCAAATTACCAGAGAAAGTTTATTTACAAAGTGGCGGAGGCAAAAGGGAGCCGTGCAAGACGTGGGCTTAGGAAACCAGCTAGAACACAGGAAGGGCCCCTGGAGAGAGAGGGGGGCGGAGGGGGAGGGGGAGAACACGCGCGCAGGTGCGCACCGTAGGGAAGACGCGGGTGGGGAAAAGCGCCCACGTGCTCCATGGCCAGGCTCGCACTGGACCACGTGTCCGCGTTGCTGCAACAGCTGCCTCAGGGGACCATCGCTTAGTAACATTTGTTTGCGTAACAGGCTCCGAGCGCAGTGATGGCACCATGCCCACAGGTAAGAGCGTCAGCTACCGTGGCGGGCAGCCTCTCCAACGAGGGGAGTGCCGCCTTCCCTCAGGACCACGCTGGGGGCCAGAAAACTGCCCACATGTTTCTTCGCGCAAGCGGCGCTTTGTCGGTGTTCACGGGGCAGATCCACGGGCCTTCCACGGAAGAGGCCCTCCAGTGTTTCTGCGGACCCTCTCCCGACCTGAGGCAGCCAGGGAGTAGCCATCCCTTGGGAGACCCACGTGGTGGAGGAATTATTCACCGAGGTGTGAATGCGCTGCATGAAAATCACCCTCTTACCAGTAATTATTCCCCACCCGTCATAATGGTCTAAATTACTCATCCCAGCCCATTCACTTAATTCCTCATTAACCCAAAACTCTCAGCCCAATGAGTGGTTTGCGTCCTGGACAATTGCAACGAGTGTCCTTTGAGGAGAAGTTCTCATGATCTCTTTCAGGCTACTGGGAAATAAGCACATTATGTCACGGGAGAGCGGGTCCTGGCAGATTTCAAACTCTGTTTGGGTCTCCAGTCCCGAATGATGTATTGGTGTATTTGGAAAGTTAAGATTTTTAGCATTAAAAAAATCAAAAGGCAGACTTAGCTGGCTCCAGGAATGCAGATAATGCAACCACGAAGAAAAAGATGGGTGTTTTTTTTGTTGTTGTTTTTTTGTTTTTTTGTTTTTTTGGCGATAACACAGTGTTAAAATAGCTTTAACGGGAGTTGGGAAATAATCACAGGAATAGGGCTTTGACCCCATTAAAGTCGTTCGGAAGGATCCATAACGTACATTCAACTCTCGGCCCCCCAGGAGAGGACATCCTTGGGGTGTGTCGGTGCCCGTTAAAATCGAGTCATTAGATTAAAGCCCTGAAAACAGGGGAACAGCACTGTAAGTGTTGGCTCTCCCCATTCAGCCAGCTGATGGGTTAGTCATCACCCCGTTAGTCATCACCCCAGTCCGAGCTGCTTTTGCGTTTTGTGCATGAAAGGTGTGGCGTGGTTTTCCAAAGACTGCGTGCTCTGCAGGAGGTGGGGCGGTCCCGAGGGCAGCCTGAGCCGGCTGGCGGAGGCCGGCCTTCCGAGTTACACTCACTTCTTGACCCTCAAGACCTGTCGCAGGAGGACGCAGCTTCCTGCAGGGGGCCAACGCACGCGCTGCATCCTTGGGGTGATTTAAGAAAGCGTAGCTTCTCAGGCACATGGGATGCGGTTACGTTGTGTGAGCGTTTCCGTACTTGGGAGTGTGTGGCGCTGGATGGACTCCGTTCAGAAGAGACCTCACTTGCAAGGGGTTTTTTTTTGTTGTTGTTTTTTTTTTCATTTTACTGTGGGCGTCTTGGTGTCGGGTCAGTGTGTGGGCCAGCCTTGGTCTTCTGCTCTCAGACACCCCGTTCAGTTTCACGGTACCAAGCGGAGAATCACAGGCGTCGACCGTCAGAAAAACGCACCGCGTCCAGCCCAGGCATCCGCTGGGCAACGGCCGTGACTTTGTCACCTGTGTTCACAGTCATGCTGTGTGACAGGCCCCTCCTACTGCCATGGCATGAACATACACAGGGGTCCCTGCCTGTGCTTATTGGCCCGGGGCTCATCTGGGGTGCAGTCGGGTGGGTACATAAAATCCACCTCTACGGAGCAGGTCAAGTTCACGAGCATGGCTGAAACCAGTTGGGGGAAATGGGGTTGATGACGGATCGGTGCCATGGTTTGGAAAGTCTCCCCCTGAAGGCCTTGGCTTTTATATTCTAAAGACACGGGATGGGTGGACCTGGAGGGCAGGATGCCGAGGGAAATAAGCCAGAGAGAGCAAGACGAAGACCAGAGGATTTCACTTACCACAAACAAACAGGCAGCACAGAAACACACTCACAGATCCAGAGGACGTGCTGATGGTGGCCGGGCGGGAGGGGTGTCCAGGGGCTGGGTGGACGTGGGGGAGGGT